CATCACCATGCTGTTTTGATTGCTTTCTTCAACTTTGTCAAGTCTACACTACCATGATACTTTGTTTTCTTCCAACTTTGTCAAGTTCCAGCTGCTATGATTGTTTTTCAACTTTGTCAAATTCATGTTGTTTTGATTACTTCTCATCTCTATCAAGCTTTTTGCAATTGTAACTTGTTTGTAAACCAAGAGCATGCCATTGTTGGTGCTGATTGCCACTTTTTTACTACTTGCTGCCAGTTTTGATTTTCTTGTTAGAAATCTGACTAGGTCTTTGTTCCTATGGTTGTAACCATCATTTTCAAGGCTTGATGTGAATTTGATATGTTTGGCATGTTTTTACTGAGGACTAAATAACGATTGTTGTTATGTATGAGTTTTACATGTTGGATCCAATTTGTTAATTGCTAGTCCATGAGCCATAACTGCTAAACTGTCAGAATAGGCCAATTTTGTTGAACTGATGTAAATTGCTTAAATGTCTTGCTTTGGTAAATGCATTGCAAAGTTGCATATGTGTGGTCTCTTTGAAATTTTACTTTTGCTTGCCATTGTTTTGCTGCCATGTTTCTATCTTTTGCTTTAATTCATGTGCCATCATTTTTGTTCAGTTCTTGCAAGATGTTTTATGTGCATGAATCATTTTGTGAGTGGTATTTGAAGTTGAGAATGTAGGCTGCATCATTGAACTTTTACTCTTTTGCCAAAACAACATTTTAAGCAATTCTTGTTCACATCATGACAGTCGACATACCAGTTTTAATTTGGAGCTGTCTTTACATGATCTTGGCATCTAAATTCCTTGAATGATGTATTTGAGAGGTGTGCATGTTTTCATTTGATCATAATTCTTGTTGTCATTAGCTGTAGCTACTCTTTTGCATTGCACAAGCTTCACTTTGCATTTTCTATCGTGTTCCTTTATATGTGCATTTTCTGAGAAAACTGAGATTGCCATCTTGATCCTTGTTGAATTTCACGCAAGTTAGGCTTTTAGTTTGTAAAAATTGATGAAGTTTTGAGCTAGTTTGAATCTTCACGCATTTGGCTTGTTCTTTGGTCCTTCTTGCCTTGCCCATATTTCATTTGCTTGTTTAAGTACTTAAGTTTTAGGGGTGGCAAAATACACGGATGTATCGCCACCCCAGTGGTTAAACCTTCACTCTCAAGCGTCTTGCAATCTCTCTGACCTGGGTTCGATCCAGATTGGAGATCAACCCTTTTATTTATTTTCCCATTTTGCCTTGTTTTCATGTTTTACTCATTCTTTCCTCTCACTTAAACAAGCGCGCACCTTGGCTCACTTGGTAAAGTTTTCAGCTGGCATCCATGAGGTGGTGGGTTCAACACCCACCAAGCGCCTCCCATTTGTTTTTATTGCTATTTCCTTTTTTTAATATTTAATTGCCTTTAAATTTCTAAAAATCATAACTTCTTCAATTTTTGTCATTTTGGATTGGTTATTTTTGCATTAGTCTTGTATTTGTGCATATTTTCATGTGGTACGTTAATATTCTAAAAATCTTTTTTTTTGAAAACAACTTTGCATTGAAAACGTTCATGCTTCTTTTAGGGTTTTTACCCTCCTAATCTTTTCAAACTTTTGATTTATTTTTCTTAAGTTGGTTATTGTGATGTGAGTTCTATGTTTGTCAAACTTTGGGTATGTAATTGCAATTACTTTTTTGCTTGTAAGCATTATGTTTGATTCATTTGATTTCCATCCCCATGATGTTATACTTTTTTGCATTGGTTGTTACTTTCATCTTTGTCAAGATATGCTTAGGTCTTTATCTTTTATTGAGTCTTGTAAGAACTCATCCTTGCTTGATATTGTAATATGCTTTCATGTTTTGGTCGTAACCATATACTTTATTCATCTTTGCTTGCCTATCGTAATACGCTTGCATGTTTTGGTCGTAACCATATACTTTACTCATCTTTGCTTGCCTATCGTAATACGCTTGCATGCCTTGGTTGTAACCATGTCTCTTATGTTCATCATGTTTGAATGATTGTTTATGCTTTGTTAAGTTTATTTTCCCCAAGTGATGGAACTTTTTAGTTCTCATCCAAGTTACCTCCTTTTTTCATGTGGTACGTTAATATTCTAAAAATCTCTTTTTTTTTTTTGAAAACAACTTTGCATTGAAAACGTTCATGCTTCTTTTAGGGTTTTTACCTTCCTAATCTTTTCAAACTTTTGATTTATTTTTCTTAAGTTGGTTGTTATGATGTGAGTTCTATGTTTGTCAAACTTTGGGTATGTAATTGCAATTACTTTTTTGCTTGTAAGCATTATGTTTGATTCATTTGATTTCCATCCCAATGATGTTATACTTGTTTGCATTGGTTGTTACTTTCATCTTTGTCAAGATATACTTAGGTATTTATCTTTTATTGAGTCTTGTAAGAACTCATCCTTGTTTGATATTGTAATATTCTTTCATGTTTTGGTCGTAACCATATACTTTACTCATCTTTGCTTGCCTATCGTAATACGCTTGCATGTTTTGGTCGTAACCATATACTTTACTCATCTTTGCTTGCCTATCGTAATACGCTTGCATGCCTTGGTTGTAACCATGTCTCTTATGTTCATCATGTTTGAATGATTGTTTATGCTTTGTTAAGTTTATTTTCCCCAAGTGATGGAACTTTTTAGTTCTCATCCAAGTTGCCTCCTTTTTTCTCCTTCCAAAAGAAAGTCTCTCTGTTGACCTTTGGGTCATAGATAGCTCATCTCCCTCCCTTGACTTTGTTAAGTCATTCATACACTTGGTTAAGTTAGAACCTGTCCTATAGACTTTGCTTAAGTCTAAGAAGCCTACCCCTTGTTAGGAGTGCTCTTTCAATTAAAACTTAGGATAGAGTTTGTTAAACTCTATGTAAGAATCATGGAAATGATTACTTACTCCCCTTTCTTGAGTGTTCAACTTAGATCTAGAGAGTTTCCTTAAACTCTACACAAACATTGTAATGTTTGTTCCCCCTTTGAACCTTAATCGTAATCAAGTGTTCTTCATCCCTAGTGAGGTGAACTACGATTGCTCTGATTCTATCCTAGTTAGGATACGTAGGCAGAGGACGCGATGTCTTTGCGAGCAAACTTAGAAACTATCCTTAGGTCTTAACCTACACTTTTTAACCCAATTCCAATCCATAGCAAACATTTAGCAAACTTAGCATACAAACAAACAAAAGGTTTTTGTAGAGTACTACAGATGTTTAGGATGTGAAATACCTACCCTATACATAACCAACCCCCGATCCCCGAATCTCTTAACGTTGTTGTTACATCGCGCAAAAGATTCTTTCTTTCTTTAGACCTTTCCTTTGGATAAATTAAAGTTCGGTTGTGAATTTTAAGAATTAAAGATTCAAGTTAATCAATAGTTTGATATCACAATTCTCACCGCAACAAGCTCGAACCCGAGACAAGAGACACGATCTAAAATGGCTGTCAAATTTTAATTCATGAAAATCACTTAATAATGGTATAATCATGGTTAAGCGCACAGTTTCACAAATTTAAAATTTATTTATAAATATAGAAACATGTAACACCTTTTTTCTTCAACGCTTTCCATAATCTCGACACTTTATTTTTAAAACAAATGGGCCTTTTATATAACTTTAACTTATAAAAAATATTAATTTAATTTTTAAAAAATAAAATAATTAATATTAATATTTATTGTTATTAATAGACAATATATATAATTCTAATATATTTTTATAAATATTTGATTAAAATAAATGAAATTATGAAATATCCCCTTTTAAATTAATAATTGAAATTATATCATCAAAATATGGAATAAAAATATTAGATTATTATTATAATATATGAAATGAATATCTACAATATAAATTATTAGAAACATATCACATTTTTTTCTGTCAAAAAAATAAATATAAGTTATTAGAAAAAAATCTATCTTAAAAAATTTGGAGTTGAATTTGAAAATAAAACGAGTAAGTGATAATCGTGGTTGGTAAAGAAAAAAATGATTTATAGTAAATTTTAAAAGGGGTTTTTGGTGATATGAGTTAAAAGTACAAAATTTATTTATAAAAATTTTAGAAAGAAAATTAATAGTTAAATTTTGAAATTATAATTTAATATGATTATGTTATTTTTGTGTCTTTATCAACAAAAATAAAAAGAGGTTTTATATTTGGGTTCAATTAACCAAATGCATTTCAGATTTAGCCCAGATACTTTTTACACAATTAACTATTTTCTTCTATATTTATTATTTAGTTTAAGAACTTTTTTACAACTTATTTTCTGTTATTTGATTTCTCTTGTACAATAAAATTTATTATTGTACAAACATATAACTAAGAAAACATTGTAAAAATAATGATATATGTATTAAAGTAAACAATGACATATTTTAAAAGTCATTAAGTAACTATAAAAATTATTTTATTTTCAATCAATTTAAAAAAAGAAAGTGTAAATTCTATGGATTGTTGGAGTCAAGCATATTGATAAGTGACAACACAAGATTGATTTATAAATTATAAATTAATTAATAATTAACTATGATTACTTTTACTCGATCCGGTTTAAAATAAATGTTATTTTAGCAAATAAAATAAATTTTATTATCACTTTTTAATATAAAAACTAATTATATTATTTAACCTTATCATTTAATTATTAATGTATACACAATTTCTAGTATATTATTAAAGTTAATTAAATAAAATCGTAACATATTTTGACAATTTTCTTTAATATGTATGTAAAATCTTTAACAATACTCATTTTAAAACAGATAGAATAGTACGTAGTTAGATAATCAATTTTCAAAGAATAATAACATTTTCAAATAATAGTAACAAATGTAACATAAAAAAGAAAACATCAAAAAAAAAAAAATTACAACCCAAAATCATTAACTCAAAGCTTGTATAATCAATGATGTAACATAAACAAACTCATTGGTTGAATCAATGAAACAAACTCACTGACTGACCAAACAAAATCAATTATAGTACATTCCTTGTTCTGAAGGCACACCTGAGGATTGAACCCATGTTCCTTTCAAGAAATTCGCCACTGTATACTTACTAGCTTCTTCTCTGTTAATAATCTTATAACCAGGCCATTTGATTCTACCACTGGTACTTGCACCAGGTCCTGTGTTGTTAAACTCTGCGTAATACAATGTATCTAACGCGAAGTTTCCGTTCCATTCTGTCCATCCCTCTGGATGAATGAACTCTCCTATTTCTGTTTCCATTACTATTGTTCTTGAAAACTCCTTCCATGGTCTACCGAGGTAGCTTTTTATGCTTTTCGTTACAGGGACTAGTTTATCATCGGCTTTGATTGTGCACTTTTGTAAAACTGTTCCTGTTGCTTGCTGTTTGTCCATTCTGCCTTGTGCTGTCACCATGTTCGATTGGTTGTCCAGTGGCTTTCTCACCACCATGATGCAGTTTTGGAATATCACTGCTGCGTCGCCGAAGATGAAGTCAATTGTTCCTGCTACGATGCAGCTGCGGTAGAATTGTCTGTGTGTTTGTGTGTAGAGAGTGTCTTGATAACCCTCGAAACGGCAGTTGGCGAAGACGGCACGGTCGGCTTGGACTCGGGCTGCCACGGCTTGGTGTCCGTCGGGACCGGCTGTGTTCCTGAATCCCATTGCTAGACCCAAAAATCCATCTCCTAGCACCACTGCATGTATCATACATAGAAAATTAGTTCATTAATATGTTTTCGATCAGATACATTGCTTACTCAAGAAACTTGAATTACCAAAACTTGCAGTCAGGAAGGTTCTGACACCATCCCTGAAGTTTTTGTTGCCGGTGATAATACTCTTTTGTGATCCATCACCATACATGGTTACGTTTTGCATTTTCTTCGTTATTGTCACGGTTTCGTCGTACACTCCTTCTTTAACATAAATCACATACCTGCATAACATGAGAAATGTGACATATTAACAATGTGACTTGTGTAACGCGATTTGATTGGATGCAAATGTAAAAGTGTTTTATGTATACCTTCCGGGGTAGATTGCAGGGATGGCTGCCAAAGCCTCGGAGATGGTTTTGAAGTCACCTTTTCCGTCTTTTGCGACAGTGACATTAGGTGTAGGTCTAATATCAGCAGCCTTCAACACCCTTCTTTCTTGGGGACGGATCCATGAAGGGAAGCCTTCCGAATCCAAAGAAGCGACAGGGGAGTTATCAGACAACAACAATCGGCCGCGCGCGAGGGTCTGAACGGTAGAAAGGAATGTAGAAACCTGAGTCACAATAGCAAGAGAATTGCTGACAAATTCCTTAGAATCATCAAAGAGTTTCTGAAGATCTGTCTTCGTTTTTCCTTCGGGAAAACCATCGACACATGTTTGTTGGAAAGAGATAACAGCACTTAACCAACTGTTCAGCTCAGGTGCTTTCAAAGAAAGTTTCTTGAATTCCACGACTGAAAGTTGATTGATAGAGGCTTCTAAGTCATCCCTAGCATCTTGAATAAGCAGTTTACAATCCTCAAACGCGCCTTTCTCTTTTTCGTTATCGAACTTGAATGAGCTTGTTTTGTTAAAGGCTTTGTTAACTTCTTCTTGGACAATTTTAACGTAGACTTTGAGAAGATCTTTAGGGTGTTGAAGTTTCGGATCCTCTTCCACTGCTTTGTTAAGAGGAACTTCACATTTTTCTTTGTAATCTGCGGTACTGCATACTAATTTAACTATCTTTTCTGAATGTGCAACATGTTTATTGCTGTTAGAAGTTGGAGATCCTCCGTTCTTGGTATCGTGCTCACCAAGACCATATTTTGTGGTGGCAACGAAGAATGCACAACCTATCATACCGACGAGGACAACGGTAGCAATAACACCAATGAGGATTCTTTTCTTCAGCTGCTGTCTCTTCTCGTTCTTTCGTCGTTCTGTGATGAGGTCGAAATCTTGAAACGCCATTTTATTTTTAAGATTAGATTAAATTATAATTTTTATTCTAAGGCAGAGGAGTCTCTGCCTTAGTGACAATCTTCAATCCAATCACAGGAAAAGTAATATGTGAAATAGAAGATTGTGATCAAATGAATGATGATTTCGACTCCTTTTAAGTAGGTTTGGTTCATTGCAATTTTAACGTAGTCTTTTTTCCCTTCATGGAAACACTAATATCATGGAAACACTAATATTAGGACAATGGATGAGAGACATTTTAGGTGTTCTAATTTTAGAAAATAAAGTGGTCAAGGTTGTTCCAGGTTAAAAATAACATGTTTTCTTGTTCAATTTTAACCTTATTTGCCGCAAAACATTCCTATCCTTCGCAATAAAATAACTACTTTCAATACCCTTCTCTCCTTTTTCTAAGGAACTAAAACTAGAGTTGAAGTAAATCAAGTAACACAAACCAAACATAGCATTGGAACATGTTATTATTGTTTCACAAAAGATAACTAAAATTTTAGTTATATGCTATTCGTCTTATATGAAGATCAAACGATTTATAGTCTCACGAAAAATGAAAAAATATTACATTGTAATAAAAGGACATTTTACAAATTAAACTCACTAACTTCTCGGGTATGGTCGGCCAAAATATAATTTTAATGCATATTCTTCTGTGTCGTAGAGTTCTCTTTTCCCGACAAAAAATAAATTTAAAACATTAACGTTATAGTAAAGACTAAAGTTATATATCAAATCCCTTCATCATAAGGAAATGAAGTAGATCCAATCCAAGCATCACCAATGATGAACTCAGAAACAGTGAAGTTATATGCACTGTCAAAATCCATTAAATGGTATCCTAACCATTTTACTCGGTTATCCGTCGCAGAACCAGGTCCATAGTTCGCAAACTCTCCATAATACAAAGTGTCTAACCCTTGATTATTATCAGAAGAAGACCACTTTTTCCATCCCATTGGATCAATAAACACATCAATGTAAGACTCAATGTAAACAGTCCTAGAATAAACCCTCCAAGGCCTTCCAAGGTAACTCTTGACGTTTTCCGAGTTGTTGTACAAATCAGTAGTAGCTAAAATCGAACAGTTTTGAATTGAGATGCCGGTGTCTTCATCAGGAGAATCTCTTGACTGTGCTGTGATGACAGTGAATTGATCGGCTAACGGCATTCTTGAAACAATATTACATGCTTGGAAAACTACCGCTGCGTTTCCAAATATGTAATCTATGGTCCCGAATATGTCACATTCTCGGTAGAATTGTCTAAAGGAGTGAACATAAAGTGTGTCTTGGTAACCATACATTGCACATTTGTAAAATGCCGTTAAGTCTGCATTCACTCTTAGAGCAACTGCTTGATGCTTCTCCGGTCCTGCCTTGTTCTCGAAGGATATATCTCGCGCTAGAAAGCCCTCACCAGAAACCGCTGACAAAACATAGGACATTAGTTGTAGATTGTCTAACTCGTCTATTAATCAACACAAAACTAACCACGGATTTCAACAGTTACAAGTTATATTAGGCACATTAATCAATATCTGTATGAAGCACGAATTCTGACACAGACACTGAACTCACGACACTGATACTCCGACAGACACCGGTAATGTAAAAAATATAGTCCCAAAATGATTACCTAAAGTTGCAGATCTGAAGGTAGTCCAGCCATCAACAACACTTCTATTACCAGTAATGAAAGTAACATCACTTCCATCACCAAGTAGAACAATATTGGTTTTATAACTCAAAATTTCAACATTTTCTTCATACACACCTTCTTTCACATAGATTAATATCCTATCATAGCTGTTATTCGGAGCAAAGTTAATGGCATCATTGATAGTGCTAAAGTTTCCACTTCCATCTGCAGCCACAACAAGCATACCATCAGTACTTTGCAAGAACCGACCGCGATCTTTTCTTGACAACCACGTTACAGCCTCGATCAAACGCCGGTTTTCACGTCCTCTCGAAGCTCTTATCTCAGGCTTGGGAAGCATTGACAAAGAATTACTAACATATTTGTAAGTGTTGATCACTGAATCAACTAGAACTTGCTTCATTGTACCTGAAGCAGAATCCAAGCTTTCTAAACATGTGTTCTTGTTGGTAACTGCTGCACTGAGATAAGTTCTTGCATCAACTAAGTTTCTGGTGTTTGAGGAAGTGATTCCAGATAGTGATCTTTTCAAGGAAGTTAAAGTTGATTGATGAAGCTCTTTGCAATCTTGTAACACTCCTCTTTTGTTTTCTATGATGTTTGAATGCTGTTGTGCAGCATTGTTGAATTGGTTAGATAGTTTCGTGGTTTCGGATATTGATAGTTGAAGGGAATGGAGAAGGATGTTAATGATGGTGGGGTTTATGGTTATTGAGATGGAAAGTTTAGATGAGTTGAAACAAAGTTCAGGGTGTGGAGTGGTTTTGCAGAAGGATTTTAGTGAAGTGATTTTTGCATGTAGTGTTGTTGTGGAAGATTTGGATGAGTTGGTGAAAGGTGAAGTATTTGAGTAGAGGATTGTTAAGAGAAGAAGGAAGAGTTTAGAAGAGAAATTAGCCATGAATTGAGTTGAATAATGAGATAAAAAAAAGTGGAAATAGAGGGAAGTTTTAATGCATAATTTATGTATAAGTTGACATTTATATGCATATCTAGAATAATTGTGATATCTATGTATGCATGCGGTAGGTAGGACACGGATATGCATAGGTGTGTGAAAAAAAGTATAAAAAAACAAGTCACGTTGTGGCAGTCACTTGGTCCACAGAGGCTGTTAAAATTTCACAATCTAATTTGTTTTTATATCGGTGGAAATGAATGTTGTTATTATAAAAGTATCCAGTCATTCAGTTCATATATCACGGGTTACTAGTTAGTACACTGATTTGGATTACAACTACAAGAGTGCCTATATAAGGAATGTTTATATGTGTATATGTAAAAGAGGTAAAAAAATATGGACAATTATATATATATATATATATATATATATATATATATATATATATATATATATATATATATATATATATATATATATATATATATATATATATATATATATATATATATATATATATATATATATATTATACAAGCAGAGTTGATATTTGTTATGAGAATGTCTACAACGCCCAAAGGTAGAGACTCATTTGTAAGGTGAAAGGAGTAAAAGGCGATATAAGTAGATTCTATTTCTCTTTTAAGCATGTAAGTTTGCATATGAGAGTTCTGTTGAGCATTTAGATCAATCTAATGAGTGACCACGATCTATGTTTTATTTCACGCTTTTAGTTGTTAACAATTTCTCTTATTTAAGAGGAAAAATGCACAATTTTTTTGATATTAAAGTTCGTTTTCATTTAAGCATCACTTTTCATTTTCTTAGTGACTTGAGTTGAGTGCTAACTTTGTAGGTTATTCTCTTTCTCCTCATCGCAACAAGCTTTGTCCCCTCGTTTACTGATCAATTTTGGTTCCACCATGAAACATTGACACCATATGTGGGTATTAAAATCTAATTCTCGTTCATTTCATAATTTTGATCTCCTCTATTAGAAGTCCAGATCTTCTTCATTAGAAATTTAGATCTCCTCCATTCGAAGTACAAATCTCAGTTTTTTGATCACTTTCCTCGAATTCCAACTTCCTTTCTTGCAGATCCTCTCTTAGATCCATTGACTATGGTGGCATCCAAAGCCACTCGCTCCGCCGTTGCCGAAGTTGTCAAAGATCAACCACCTCTTCCTCAAAGAGTATATGATCCAATATTGGTAACATCTCCGCCCATTCCTTCGCGACAAGATCTCATTCAACCTAGACCAGACCAAAGAGTATACCAGCCTCTTATGTTCCCTAGATCCGCGTAAAAATTTCCCCAAGGTGAGCCTTCACTCATACCTCCATCACTGCCTATGATATCAGGACATGAAATGCTTTCCAACTTTCAGCTGTTACAGGTTAACTTCGGTGTGCAATGAGCAAAAGATGTACTGCACGTTGTTTACAACATGGTGCAACAAAAGAATTCACTGGGCCAAACAAAAAGGCTATTCATAATTGAAGAGAGCCTGTAACATGTTAAACCTAAGAACAAAAATGCACAAGAAGCCACCTCCCAAAGAAACAAAGTCAACACTCTAGAATCGGCCTCCATTAGAGCGGTGATGTTGCAAAGAGAAGTTCCAAGATCACTAAGTCGTCACCATCATAAAACAAATCACAATCCTTCCCCCGGCAGTGAAAGGGAAACAACGATAATGCTTACCCTGAGGTGTGTCGTCTTTGCAAAAGAAAGAGATATGAAGAAGATGCCCTTGTCTAGAGCGGAAGAGAAATCCCATGTTTGTCCACATCCTCAAGAGAAGAATTTCGAGGTCGTTAGAGAAAACTCTCAAGCTTCAAAGCTATGGTGGGAATGGGGATCCATACGAACATGTCGAGCATGTGGACGACCGATTAGACTAATACCATGCCATCGAGGCTATAAAGTGAAAACTCTTTGCACTAACCCAAATTGGATCAATAAAAACCTAGTATAAAATCCTCTTGGGCTGAAGCGTAGATTTGTGGAGAGACCTTTGAGAAGCCTTTGCCGCCCACTTCATTGCTCATAAGCTCCAACCCCTTACTATGATTGTACTAAATGGGATTACTCGAGGAAAGAAGGACACCCTACGTGGTTACATTGACCGCTACACTAAAGTGGAAGTAGCCACGGAGGGCACAAACGAAGGATTAAAATGTTGGATTTTTGAAGGTTTGAGGTCAGACTGCATGTTCCTAGATAAGTTAGGGCTTAAGGAAGTCCATAGTTTGAAATATTTATTGAGTATGCCACAAACTCACATTAATTATGAGGAAAAACTCTTGGCCATGATAGTCAACCAATGATTAGGGAACACCTAACATAGCCGACCATTGGAGAGTGGTGCTGGTTGGCATAAAGAAGAAGGAAAGTGAGGGCCTCGGTCCAGATTTAACGCTTATACTC